AAAAAGAAGCGGGGAGGGAATATCCAAATGAAAACTCAACTGTCAAAAATATAAAATACAAACTTTTAAAATATATGTCACCTGTTAAATCATCTACCAGATTCTTAACTGTTGATTTAAAGAACAAAAACCATAACAGAAAAATCTCTCAAGTAAAAGGAAAATAACTTTTATGGGATTAACTTCTAAACCCCAGAAGTAAGAGAAACAATATCAATTAGTTAAATTTATGTAAGATTTAATCATTAACTTTAATGTACCTATTAAATTTCCTCTATTTTCCCTTCTATTTCCTCCTCCTAGAATTTCAAGCTAGAAGGTACACAATGAAAGAAAAATGCCTTAATACTCAAACCAAATAATTAGCCTCTGGATGAATCAAATGTTGATTTTACTGTCAAAGCAGAACTTGAAAAAAGTCTTAGCTTTATATATACTTTCCAAGATAAGCTCCAAGTAGTTTAAAAGAAAAAAATAGTAATTAAAAATAGTGTCGCATTAAAAAAGGAAAAGTATACCTTCAGCTGAGGTTTTTCATCATCTTTTGTAGAAGTATCATCTGCCTGCTGAGGAACCAAAACAAATTCTTCACTGTTCAGTGTAGCCACAGAATCAGATGACCCACTAACCTTCTGTAACGCAGCTCTGACCTCCATTTCAATTCCGTAAACTTCTCTTCCCACATCCACCTGGTAAAACTAAAGAGATTTATTTAAGTAAAACTATTGATCAAAAACATTAACTTAAAACATGAACTAAGGAAGTTTTTTAAATGGTTCATATGAAAAAGAATCCTGGCGAGATAATTATCTCTGAATTAGAAAGGCTAATTTGGTACACTGGGCCACATGATGGAAATGTACTTTCTTCACTCTGAATACTGTTCCCTGAAAAAAAAATACAATACAATCATATCTCAACTAAACAGATTTACCTCTATTTATCTCTCTTAACTCATAAATATTTCTGGGTTTTTTAATAGAGGAAAAATACACATGTGACTAAAAACACGTGGGAATTTACACATAAATACACACACACACACACACACACACAGTTCAGTTGGACACAGTGGTGCATGCCTATAGTCTCAGCTCTCCAAGGAAGTAGGAATAGCCTCTAAAACCAGACGTTCAACATAGAAAGGAATATATGGCAAAACTCTTCCTGAAAATATACAAGCACACATACACTATACATATATATATATATTCAAGTACTTTATTAAATCTAAATGCTTTTAAATTTTTTGTCTCCTCCCAGCACTTGGGAAGCAGAGGCAGGTGGATCTCTGTGATCTGCACAAAAATTTCCAAGCCACCCAGAGCTACATAGTGAGACCCTGTCTCAAAAAAAAGGGGGGTGGTGTGCAGGGGTACTGGACAGATGGCTCAATGGTTAAGAGCACTGATTGCTCTTGCAGAGGATCCAGTTTTGATACCCAGCACCCACATGGTGACTATAAACCATCCTTAATTCCAGTTCCAGGGGAATCCAAAGCCCTCTTCTGACCTCCACAGCATTGCATGACACGGGTACACTCACATACATGCAGGCAACACACTCATACACATAATATAAAAATAATAATAAATTAAAAAAAAATTTTTTTGGTCTTTTTGAGACAGGGTCTTCCTGTAGCCCCAGCCGTCCTGGAACTCACTATGTAGACCAGATTGGCCTTGAACTCACAGAGATCCGCCTGCCTCTGCCTCCTGAGTGCTGGGATTAAAGGCATGCACCACCAAACCCGGCCCATAAATAAAATATTTTTTAAAAAACTTGTCTTCTAAAGGCAAAGTACTTCTGGGTTACTGAAGGAAGTAGACCGATTAATAGAAATCAATGTCCTAGACATGTATTTCCTTTTCCAAAGACATTAACATTTAACAGTACACAAAAAACTGCTTTCATATTGTACTCATGTGCCAAATTAAGTCTCAGTAACCAAATACAATGTAATTCTACTTTTCTTTTTCTAAACTTTTATTTATTTTTATTTTATGAATATTTCATCTGCATAGTACACCACGTGCATGCAATGCCTGCAGAGGACAGAAGAGGGCATTGGATCTCCTGGAACTGGAGTTACTGACAATCCTTAGCTACCAAGTGGGTGCTAGGAACTGAATGCTGGTCCTTTGCAAAAGCAGACAGTGCTCTTCACCACTGAGTCATCTCTCCAGTCCTAATTCTATTTCCTTGATAGATCTATATATAGTCTCACAGGAACTCAAAATTCCGGAAGTTTATATATTCCTACAACTTATTTTGACTGCAGATGTGTAAGACAGTGTACTCAGTCCTGGGTTACATAGTAAATGAGACAGACAGGTAGGCAGCTGTTCTAGAGCTTAAATACTAGTGAGGAAGGAAACAGGTAAGCCAAGAAAAAAGGGGG